GCTTGTGAACACGGTATTCACTCTTTGCTGGGTAAGTAAAAGCGCCTGCTTCGGAGAACTTTTCTCTCACATTATCATGTAGGCCACTGTGGGTTGCAATTTCGCTGCAGTCGCTCGTTTCATCTCACGCGTTGAAAACGATCGGCGACCAAGTCTTCAAGGTTGTACTAATCGAATTCTCTCCGCTATTTTCCGTGTGTGTGTAAAATGCGCCAGTCTTTCGTTCCCTTCGACCAAGACAGTCTGTTACTGGGTCGTTATAACACAACCGTGTGTGCCCCATGCTGAGGCCGATGTTGCATTCTTGATGCTTCTTCACTAGGTCTTTGTAAGCTGGATAAACTTCATTCCACTTTATTTGGTTTGTTCTGCCTACTTGAATACTGTTCTATTAAATGGCCACGTTGCTTGCGCTAATTGCGCTTATCTTCGATAATTTTCTTGCGTTTATAGCATTTTTAAGTAACTTGTGGACATCTTTTACTTATCGCGGATTCGTTTCTAACCGACTTACTTCACATGGTAATTTCGGGAAGAATTATGCCACCGTATCTGTATGCATTATTGAATTTATTTTATTTCAGCTTGTCGTTTAAATTGAATGGCTGTTGCTTGATATCCCCGGTGTGGCTGCGCTTGATGTGCATGTTGACAAGGTGCCTACCTGTCTATTACCCACTACCTCGTTCATACTGGCTCCAGGAGGCAGTTGGTCGTTGCTGGAGGGGACGGGGTGAACGGTCCTTGTGGCCGTGATAGGCTCAAAGAGCGGTTCCATGCAGTCAGTGTGGAGCGGACTACGGTCCAGCCACCGCCTTGTGTGCGCTTGATTCCTCAAATACAGCGTGCTTGTGTTTGCTTGTGAAGGAGTGTGGGCCGGCTCCGTTGATGAAACGTGGCTCCCATCCACATGCCTCCCGGTCTTATTCCTTCGGGTTTACACTGGATATGGGGTGTGTGGTTGGAGCTGTGGGTGGTGCAGCGCAAGCCACCCATGCTCCCTCTGTAGGCGCAGGCGTCCTGTGGCTGGCCACAGTGACAGGCAAATCCGAAACCGGATGCCGCCAACCATAACACAACCGTGTAACTGAAGCATTTATTTCCCGCTGAGATTTTCAACAAGAAAGCATGATAGCGCCGCACGATCTATAACGGGAAAATTTTCTATACATGTTAGCAAGTGCGTACTACAGATTGCGTGCAAACATATGTACATAAAATCATGAACATCTGGTATAGTTGGGGTAGCAAATTCACCAAAGGACATACACCGACACACACACACACACACACAGAGACAAGCACTCACTCACTTGTTCGTTTGTCAGCTAACAGAGCCAATGTGACGAACGCGTCCTTTTGTACACATAGGGTGGGGCCCAGTTGTTTGATGGCCACCGATTCGTCATATCGTAAAATGTGGATGTTATTTGACGCGAAGAGCACCCCGAATGTGTGCGCAGGGTCCACCTTGTGTCTGTCTGTCAGCTGATGTCGGGCGATTGATGAAGCTGGAACTTTGTGTGGCAAATCGTTAGCACTTGGGGCGATGGTTGAGTCGACCCGTCTCACCCACTTCGGTAAATGCTCCGCAATTCTCGCCTGCAGCTGACGCTCTGTCATACCCACGTAGTCGGCCTTGCAGTTACATGTAAATTGGTAAAGGACGTGTGAACGGTTGAACAGAGATACTGGTGGCTTAACCGACGAAGTAGAGATGCGAGTCGTTGTGTACAGTAATACCGGTTGCGCCGCGGGTCACACACGTGCCCGGCGAATTTCAAACATCGTTGAAATACTTGGCTTACACCGTCCCCCTTAAATGGTAGTTGCAGCGGTACGGTGAGTACTTTCTCTTCTGCTATCTGGTTGATAAATTGAACAACGAAGGCAGGCGGGTACCCCTTTTCTGTCAGGCTGTTGGTGAGCAGTTGCATCTCCTGTTCGAGCGTGTCAGGAGTGCATATTTTCCTCGCTCTATCAAACAGAGTCCGCACCAGGCCCTGGTTGTAGCGCTTTGGGATAAAGTTTTGAAAGTTCAAATACTGACCCTCCCATGTGGGTGTGCGGGAGACAGATCTACGTATCGATCCATCGTTCCTGCGTTCTATCAAGACGTCCAAATACGGCAAACTATCATTCTGCTCATGTTCCGTTGTCACCGTGATGTTTTGGTGCAGGCTGTTTAATTTGTTACTCGGTTGAGTAAGATGGACCTCTTGATTACAAATGAGCAGGATGTCGTCCATACACCTGCGAAAAAGCACGGCTTGGTTACTTTCGGATGTTCATGATGCTATGTGTATATATTTGCACGCAATGTGCAGTACGCAATTCATAATATGCAGAGAGAATTTTCCAGATATAAATCGTGCAGTGCTATCTTGCTTGAAATTTTGGTTTTCCATCAACGAAGATTAACAGCATGGAAACTCAGGCGCACCTCGAGGCATTTTCGACAACTTACTGGCCTCACGCCAACTTCCAAGGATGATGTACAGTGCTTCAAGTCAAAACTTGTTTTCCTGGAATATCAGTACCGGATTATGAGTTCCAGAAAAAGTCACCGCTTGAAGCAAACATTTGAAAGCCTTGAAGCAACTCAGCTCGGAAGGAAAAGTAGTTATACTCCACCCAGACAGGGGTTCAGATGCCGTAGTGCTGGATAAAACCGATTATGTAAATAAAATAATGACGATACTCAATGATCGCACTAAGTTCGAGCTAGACAATACGCCTGATCACCCACCTGAGCTGGAGAGGAGGAAAAGCACGGAATTACAAGCGTTGCTGATGGGAAACATTAAGGCTGAGACCGCTAAATCCTTGAGACCTAGGGACACGCAATCACCACAGCTCTATGGGTTGCCAAAATTACACAAGGAAGGTGTGCCACTGAGAGCGATTTTATCTATGAGCAATTCGCCGCAACATAAGTTGGCTAAATGGTTAGTCAAGATACTTGAGCCAGTCAGGAAGTCAATGGTTACTTACCGTCTAAAGGACACATTCGAATTAATTCAGTTACTGAACAGCATAGAGCTGAAAGGAAGCTTATGTCCAGCATTGACATTGTCTCGCTGTTCACAAATGTGACACTGAAAGTGACCATCCGGATTATATGTAACTATGTGACTGAGAGTCAGTTGGAAATAGGCCTTCCAGTCTCTGAATGACTGCTACTCCTGTGCACATCGAATGTAAAATTTTATTTTCAACAACAAGCCTATCGACAGGTGGATGGTGTCGCAATGGGCAGTCCGCTCGGACCAGTGCTAGCGGATATTTTCGTTGCTTACCTCGAAAATCAAACTAGGAACGAAATTAACCAAGCCGTGTATTTTCGCAGGTATTTGGACAACATCCTGCTCATTTGTAACCAAGAGGCTTATCTCACTCATCTGAGTAACAAATTAAACAGCCTGTACCAAAACATCATAGTGACAACGGAACATGAGCAGAATGATAGTTTGCCGTATCTGGACAACTTGATAGAACGCAGGAACGATGGGTCGATACGTAGATCAGTCTGCAGCGAACCCACATGGAAGAGTCAGTATTTGAACTTACATAGCTTTGTCCCAAAGCACTACAAACAGGGCCTGGTGCAGACTCTGTTTGACAGAGCGAGGAAAATATGCACTCCTGACATGCTCTAACAGATGCAAATGCTTACCAACACGCTGACAGAAAATGGGTACCCACTTGCTTTCGTTGTTCAAGTTAGCGACCAGAGAGCAGAAGAGAATGTAACCACCGTACCGAAAGTGAAATTAATGCGGCAATTACAGTTTAAGGGGGACTATGTAAGCCATTACAACGACGTTTGAAATCCACAGTGGCCCGTGGTTAACCCGCGGCGCAACTAGTATTACTGTACACAACGACTCGCATCCCTACTCCGACGGTTAAGCCACCAGTACCTCTGTCCAACCGTTCACACGTCCTTTACCAATTTACATGTAGTTGCAAGGCCGACTACGTGGGTATGACAGAGCGTCAGCTGCAGGTGAGAATTGCGGAGCATTTGCCGAAGTGGGTGAGACGGGTCGACTCAACCATCGCCCCAAGTGCTAACGATTTGCCACACAAAGTTCCAGCTTCATCAATCGCCCGACATCAGCTGACAGACAGACACAAGGTGGACCCTGCGCACACATTCGGGGTGCTCTTCGCGTCAAATAACATCCACATTTTACGATATGACGAATCGGTGGCCATCAAACAACTGGGCCCCACCCTATGTGTACAAAAGGACGCGTTCGTCACATTGGCTCTGTTAGCTGACAAACGAACAAGTGAGTGAGTGCTTGTCTCTGTGTGTGTGTGTGTGTCGGTGTATGTCCTTTGGTGAATTTGCTACCCCAACTATACCAGATGTTCATGATTTTATGTACATATGTTTGCACGCAATCTGTAGTACGCACTTGTTAATATGCATAGAAATTTTTCCGGATATAAATCATGCTAACGTTCTTGTTGACAACCTTTTACGTCGATTAGGTCATATGTTCCGTCTGCTCGTTGACTGGTCCATCGGCTTGAAATGCACGCCGTTTTTACACCGATTTGAGCGAAACCCGGCGTGGCTAGTTGATGACGTGGCATATATTCATCCGGAAGATATCAGATACTTGGTCAAGCTGATGCGTGCGGTCTTCGTGGATGGAGGGCCGGTGGATGATGCACATCATTGGTTGGAAACTCTGGCGCAGTTGCGCATTCCGTGGCGCTGCCGCATTCTTTTTCTTCCATCTTTTTGTTAATCTTCACTCTTCATTTCTTGTTCCCTTTTTCTTTGTGTTCTACTTGAGTTTAATCTCAGTTTTTTCGTCGTTACTCTAACGATGTGAGAGTTGCATCTGGATGCATCGCACTTCGGTGCCCGGTTCATTGTTGTTCCAAATGCTATGCTCTGTTTGGTACTCGGATCTATCATAAATCTCTACATATCTCCCTGCCCGAGCACTGACTCTGCGCCAACCCATTTATCTTTTTAGGCATCCCATACTCCGTCCCAGCATGGGGAGTTAATATGTTATGTGGTTCCGGCTTGAAAGCAGTGTGCTTGGCTTATGATCGTTTGAGACATGTGAACCCTGACGGCGGTTGGGTCATTGCAGGTGGTCAAGAGTCCATGAGTCAGGCTCCTCACGCCACTGCTGCAGGTGCTTCTGTCCGTCGAGGAGGTGGTCCGAACACTCGTACTCTACCTCATTTGGGTTCGTTTCATCTCATTGATACCATCATGCATGACGGTCTGACAGATGCTTACTGCGGCTTGCTGATGGGGCACACGGCTGAGTTTATTGCCAAAAAGTAAGTATTTTTGAAACGGAAATTTTGCCTCTATTTCTGTTTTGTCATCGCTGCTTTCTCGCCGATCAACAGTCTTTTTGAGCCATCTGTTCGTTTCCCTTTTTGGAAAATATTCTTTATTTTGTGATCATCAAGTAAGCATGGTGTTACTAGAACTAGCCATTACTTGGGTGGTGGAATGCAGTTCCATCGTTCGGCAGTGCCATTGTTCTAAGGGCATCATTCTAGACAGTAGCTAGTAAAAATCCCCAGCTTGTGACCCAGTTTTCGATGGCATCTCTTTCCGTAGTTAGGCTCGCGAATAAATACATATTGGAAGTTGTCATCTGCAATACCACTAGGCCCTTACATGCCGCTTCATTAGGCTGTAAACAATCTGAGCACCCATAGTAGTCGCCTCTCCTGTGTAGTATGTGCTAAAGAACATCGGAGAATTTCTGATTGAGATCCTATGTATTGTTCAGTTAGGTTTTCTTGATATCACCACCCAAACGACCTCGGATTTTCACTAATATCTGTCAAGAAATGTATATACAAATATCTGAATGATTTACGTGAAAAGTACGCAAAGAAGTATGCTCTGGTTACTTCACATCATCAGTCCTCGCATCACTACTTAGCTACAATATGCGTGCTGCCTTTTTTCAATAGTGTTTATAAATGTATGCTGCCGTTGCCAATGAGTGGATGTGCGTGGAATTGCCTGTAATGGCTGACTGAGCAAATGGCGGTGATCGATTAGCATGTAAGTTATACGTCCTAATGGCTAACGGTCCCACGAGTTCCGCATGATCCCTCTACACATCTGTGCAGGCTGACGTAGCCTCGCAATACGCCCCAACGGGTGACTGTGAAGCATCATGTATCGCTTCTTCTGCTAGGTCCCCATCCGCATGCAGTGCGAGGCACAGTCCAACTTAGTTATCCGATCAATCTGCAGCGGGATCGCATAAAACAAATCATTGTTCGAGTTGTGTAATACGTTTTTCAAACGAATATTTGTGGTGATCGAAAACTTAAAGGTTTTAGAAAGGTTGGGGAGCTGAAATAAAGATTAGCTACAGATATAGCTAAACGTTCGCGTCTACCAATACGGAAATCCGTAAAACCGTCTCATGCGGACCTGCTTCCTTGCTTGGTAGTATCTTGTCACATTTCACTTGCAGTTGTGGCGTAAACGTCACACCCAACCGTGTGCCAGTGCGGATTTAAACCAAGCAAATCGTCACCGCTTTAATTGAGCTTTAGAGTTGTTACTCTATGTCTACGAAATAGAAACTCCAGCAATCCAGTTGGCGGGTATGTAGAAGTACAGTTAATGTCCCGTGTAATCCTGTTACATCTCTGGTGTCTTTGCAATATTGTTATTGAAAGGTGTTTGTTGTGTTTCCGCTGATTGTGCGGGTAACCTGCTGCTACTGCGCAAGCTGACCGACCGACTTTCCAGAGTAGAGTACAAAGGCCTCAAACGAGAACTGTATTGAGCATTCGGCAGGCAGTTTAAAAAAATCAAATGATGGGGTCGAATCAATAGTTAATAAGGGAGTGGCGCAGCGCTCAGTGGCGGGCTTCAAGGTACACCATCCTCATTGGCAGCGTTCAAGATGAGGCGTCGCCATTTGTCCACTCCCATTGGTTGGCCAATAAGCTTCGGCCTGCGTCATGGTATACTGTTTCCGGCTGCTAGCAAAGGGGCGCCCACTCCCTTAACAGAATTGAACGTGGTGGGGGGGAGTGAAAATGATATATATATATATATATATATGTATATATATATATATATATATATAGTGCCCCATGCTGAGGCTGATGTTGCATTCTTGATGCTTCTTCACCGCAGTTGGGCTAAACCAACTTACACTTAAACTAGGTCTTTTTAAGCTGGATAAATTTCATTCCGCTTTATTTGGTTTGTTCTGCCTCCCTGAATAATGTTCTATTAACTGGCCACGTTGTTTACATTAATTGCGCTTATCTTCGGTAACTTTGTTGCGTTTTGTAGCATTTTTAACTAACTTGTGGACATTTTTTCCTTATCGCGGATTCGTTGCTAACCAACTTACTTCATATGCTTATTTAGCTTAGAGTTATGCCACCGTATCTGTATGCATTATTGGATTTGTTTTATTTCATCTTGTCGTTCCAGGTGATTGGCTGTTGCTTGATATCCCCGGTGTGGCTGCGCTTGATGTGCATGTTGACAAGGTGCCTACCTGTCTATTACCCACTACCTCGTTCATACTGACTCCAGGAGACAGTTGGTCGTTGCTGGAGGGGACGGGGTGCACGGTCCTTGTGGCCGTGCTAGGCTCGAAGAGTGGTTCCATGCATTCAGTGTGGAGCGGACTACGGTCCAGCCACCGCCTTGTGTGCGCTTGATTTCCTCAAATACAGCGTGCTTGTGTTTGCTTGTGAAGGAGTGTGGGCCGGCTCCGTTGATGAAACGTGGCTCCCATCCACATGCCTCCCGGTCTTATTCCTTCGGGTTTACACTGGATATGGGGTGTGTGGTTGGAGCTGTGGGTGGTGCAGCGCAAGCCATCCATGGTCCCTCTGTAGGCGCAGGCGTCCTGTGTCTGGCCACAGTGACAGGCAAATCCGAAACCGGATGCCGCCAACCAGATATATATATAGGCAGGAGAGCCTATGGTGCGCTGAGGCTGGTGGTGGCTAGATCCTGACTGATGTTCCACCCACTGCTGATACTATTGTGCCATTTGCTCATGTCTTGGGCGCCTCCTCGTGGCGACCGCTGGGTGGGAGTTGGGTTTCGCCCTTCTCCCTGCTAAGATCCAGGACACCAATCCGCATGAGTCAGTGAACTGACCATGTGCTAGACCCGCTGCCTTTCGGGTGTTCATTCAATCGAAGGCTTTGGCTGAGGACCCGAGTCGTTCTCCTGTCAGGTGTGGGCGCCCTGCCAGTATCCTAGTCCATCCTCTTCGGAGGTTAGGAAGTGGTCGATGGCCCTCTTCCCGTAAAACCTAGCCATGGGAGACAACAGGTTTGCGGTTTATAAGCTCAGCTCAATTGGCGTAGAGCACGAGGACCACGCATTGTCTGTGACGCTGGGAGGACACCTCCGGGTGTTCAATGGTTTGCTACTGCCCGCCTCAAGCCAGGCAGCCCCTGGTCAAATTGGTGCATACCAGCCAAAACCCAACTGCGTCTGGCAGTGATCGCAGGTGCATCATATTACGGTCGCAAAACATATATAAATCGTTCCAGTACCTCCAAGGCTGCGTGTGACGGCCATCAAGCAGATCCCAATCTGTCTCTGTAATCACATTCCCTAGCTGGATTTGCTCCCCACTGCCTTGTGGGTCAGGATATTGAGCCAAAGGCTCCGGGCGGAGTCCCTCAAGCAAACCTCCAAACCAGCCACTGCCTTGTGGGTCAGGCTATTGAGCCAAAGGCTCCGGGCGGAGTCCCTCAAGCAAACCTCCAAACCACCCACTGCCTTGTGGGTCAGGCTATTGAGCCAAAGGCTCCGGGTGGAGTCCATCAAGCAAACCTCCGAAGCACAACCGCCATCTAGTATGCGATTGTCCACCAATGCAATCGTATGTCTGCGCGCAAAGCACTCAGCATCGGGTGCTGGAATGTGCGCACACTACTGGACCGCAACACCAGCGAGCGCCCCGAGCGACGCACTGCACTCGTCGCGATGGAACTGGCGCGCTACCACATCGATATTGCGGCGCTCAGTGAAACTCGGCTCGCTGAGCAAAGTAAGTTGCATGAAGCGAGTGCGGGCTACACATTCTACTGGGTGGGCAACGCCGCCTCAGCACCACGTGATCATGGGGTCGTATTTGCAATATCCGATCGCCTCCATGGCCAGCTGGTGGGTGAACCAACGGGCATCAGCGCGCGACTGATGACTGTTGGCCTACGACTCGGAAGAGGTAAATTTGCTACTTTTATGAGCACGTGCGGTCCGACCGTGTGTTATCCTGATGACAGGCGTGGTCAATTCTACACTGAGCTATCCTCCGTGCTACGGTCTGTGCCGAGGAGCGACCGACTATTTCTGCTGAGTGATTTCAACGCGCGCGTTGGGCGTGATGCATCGGTGTGGACAGATGTTATCGGTCTGCATGACATTGGTTCAGCGAATGCAAACAGTGACAGGCTACTCTCACTGTGTGCCACTCACGACCTGACGATCACGAACCCTCGGTTTGCACTGAGTGCGAGTGATATAGCAACTTGGACGCACCCACGGAGTGGTCACGCTCACCTGCTCGACTGTGTCATCGTACGTCAGCGTGATATGCGTGAAGTGCGCATGACACGTGTACTGAGTGGAGCTGAAAGTGGCACTGATCATAACTTGGTACGGACAAAACTGTATATATATTTTCGTAAATCTATGTTTTCCACTACCTCCGTGAGTCGGTGTAAATTTAACACTCTCTCCCTCGGTACTGTGGCGAAACGTACTGAGCTGGATAAGGCGATAGCTGCACGCCTGTGCGATGTGGAAGGCATAGCTACAGTGGGCGACCTGTGGCAATACATTCGCGACCAGGTGACAGCTGCTGCCGAGGAGATCATCGGGCGCGCAAAATGTAAACGGCCTTTTTGGATGAGAGTAATGCGATTATTGGTGTCGAGGAAGAATGCTGCATTTGCTGCACATGTCGCAGACCTCAGTGACTTGGGGAATAAGAGTCAGTTCCGCGAAATTCTACGGCGACTGATCCGAGAGCTCCATCGCATAAAAATGCATGGTGGACGGAGAAGGCGAAGCAGATGGAATGCTACGCCGAACGCCGACAACACAAGGAATTTTTTGACTTCTTGAAGGTGGTGTATGGACTTTGATCAGAGCCGCTGAGGACGCTGATCGATGCTTACTCAGACGCTACCTGCAGACATAATGCAGATCTGGCGGAAACACTTTGACTGTCTCTTGAACAACCGTTCAGAGATCGACTGGCCTACTTTGAACTGACTGAAGCAGCACGATGTGAAGACGAGTCTGGCGGACACACCGACACTGGATGAGACGCAGTGAGCATTTGTTCAGCTGCGAAACGGCAACTGTGCCGTTGCCAAAGGGATCCCATCTGAAGTATTGAAACACGACGGACCCGCGTTATTGACTGCGCTGCACCACTTGGTGCAGCATGTGTGGATTGAGGAGGAGGTGCTTTCAGAGCTGAAGGATGCCCTTGTGTTGCCACTGTACAAGGGTAAAGGTAGCAAGCAATGTTGCACGAATTATCGTGGCATCATCTTGCTGAGTTGTGTGGGCATGGTGATTGCCTGAATCCTGCTCAACCGCATTGTCAGTCAGGTTGTGGAACCTTACGTGGCGGAAGAACAATGTGGATTCCGTTCGGATCACAACACTATAGATATGGTGTTTTCGGCTCGTCACTTGCAGGAGAAGTGCAGGGAACGACACCAGCCTTTTTACTCGCTTTTTGTTGATTTCACCAAGGCATTTGATACGGTGAACCGAGAATCATTGTGGCTGGTGTTGGGTAAGTTTGGTTGCCTGCGTAAGTTTGTAAGTTTAATTGAATTTCTGCACAGTGGTATGCGAGCGAGGGTGCGGCTGAGTGGAGATACTTCGGATGACTTTGCAGTTGTCTCTGGTGTGAAGCAAGGCTGTGTCTTAGCTCCTGCCCTGTTTAATATATATCTTCATGCAATGTTGTCTTGTGAATTTGATGCCGCTTGTGCTTACGATGTTCGTGTGGAGCACCGTATTGATGGTGGGTTGCTGAACATCCGTCGTTTCGGTGCGAGAACTCTAGTCTGTGAGACAACTATCCGTATGTTGCTGTTTGCTGACGACTGTGCGTTGTTTTCACACAGCGCGGATGAGTTGCAGCATATGACTAGTGCTCTGGCTTCGACAGCAGCAAAATTCGGGCTCACCATCAACACAAGCAAAACTGTCTGTCTCTTTCAGCCTTCACCGGATGTGCAATCTTCAATATTGCCGCAAATCAGCATTGGTGCTGAAGTATTGGAAACCACCTCCCGCTTCAGCTACCTTGGGAGTGTGATGTCGACTGATCAGCAGCTACACGTTGAGTTGCGTATTCGCGTGTCGAAGGCGGCAGCGGCATTCGGGAAGCTTGAGTACCGAGTGTGGAACAACCATCAGCTTAGCATTGGCACGAAGCTGATGGTGTACAAATCCATGGTACTGTCCGTTCTTCTATACGGCAGTGAAACATGGACGATGTACCGGCGAGATGTGCGATATCTCGAGCGGTTCCATCAGCAGTGTTTACGACGAATTTTGCGCATCGGTTGAGGCGACAGAGTTGCTGACACGGAAATGTTGCGACAAAGTGGGATGTATGCAGTGGACTGCATACTTTTACTGAGACACCTGAGGTGGCTCGGTCATTTGAGCCGTATGGATTCATCGCGGATACCGAAACAACTCTTATACGGTCAGCTGAGTATTGGGAAGCGGTCTGTGGGGAAACCAAAGTTACGTTTCCAGCACTTGATTAGCGTGAGCCTCTCACGTTCTAATATTGATTGCAGGTCATGGGAATCGAAGGCGGTTGATCGGGGTGCATGGCGCGATCTGATCATGAAGGCAGTTGCCGTGGTGCAAGAGAAAGCGCTCATACATACAGAGAAGAAGCGGCAAGTGCGGAAGCGACAGGCAACAATGCGTTGTACTCCATCGACTTCGAGCTCATGGTGCTGTAGCCCATGCGGTCGCGAGTGCGTGAGTCAGGCAGGCCTGGTGAGCCATGATCGAGACCATTCGGGACCACTACCGAAGCGACGACGGGTCCTGCAGAGAAGGTAGGCGCAGCGTTTGTAGGTACGCTGCATTCGATTTACCAACCGCGTGCTTGCATGCTGGGTTTATTTCTTTCAGGTGGTGGGTTTTCAATTTTGTCCTAATGCCTTTATTTCTCATTTAATTGCCTACCTATACTCTCTTCTATAAACTTGCACACGTCGCTTAAGCTAATTCTGGTTAATTTCGATAACATTTTCGTGTTTGTGTCATTTCCGTAAAATATACTTTCTGACCTCGTGAACTTATCTGGGATCCTTTGTAAACAACTTATTTCATATGCTGATTAATTTAAGATTTCTGTCACCGTTTCCTTATGCATTACTCCATTTATTTTATTTGTTATCTTTCACAGAAGTGATTGGCTGTTGCTTGATATCCCCGGTGTGGCTGCGCTTGATGTGCATGTTGACAAGGTGCCTACCTGTCTATTACCCACTACCTCGTCCATACTGGCTCCAGGAGACAGTTGGTCATTACTGGAGGGGACGGGGTGCACGGTCCTTGTGGCCATGTTAGGATCAAAGAGTGGTTCCATGCACTCAGTGTGGAGCGGACTACGGTCCAGCCACCACCTTGTGTGCTTGATTCCCCAAATACAGCGTGCTTGTGTTTGTCTGTGAAGGAGTGTGGGCCACCATCCACATGCCTCCCGGTCTTATTCCTTCGGGTTTACACTAGATATGGATTGTGTGGTTGGAGCTGGTGCAGCGCAAGCCACCCATGGTCCCTCTGTAGGCGCAGGCGTCCCGTGGCTGGCCACAGTGACATGCAAATCCGGAACCTGATGCCGCCAACCATATATATTCGCAAGTCTGATTACAGATAATGTGCCATCCGCACCATGGCGCACTAAGGGGTAAAACGAAATTCAACCTGAAGAAAACGATTTTTTCGTTTTACACACTCCGTTTTGTGCTTTTTTGTGTGTTTTGGGGTTTCATGCTCGATGAGACGTTAACTAATAGATACTACGGTTGCACAGCACTGTCTCTAATAATGCGGGTGCGCGCCATAACTTCCAACGTTTTTAACCACTGGCAATCAAAACCGCATGGTCCCCATCCTGGGAGGCGGACCCGTCCGATGGATGCTAAACTTCAGGTTGCATTCTTCATGCTCCTTTGTACGTCATTGGTTGTCCACCGCGGCACTTTTTCCAGTCGCTTCCGGGGAACGCAAGTAACGCTCGACAGGGAAGGCGGTAGGCCGGCATGCGCAATACGTGGCCGAGCCAACGCATGCGGTGTCGGAGAATAACCGTTTGGAGGCATGGGCTGTTTGCTCCAAACACTCGCTCTCGGACTCCTGCGTTACTCTCGTGATACTGCCACCACACGTGAGCAATCCTACGCAGACAGCGATTGTCGAAAACTGTCAAACACTTTATGTCTTCCGAGTGAGTCGGCCAGGTTTCACAACCGTATCAGAGGACCACACTGACAGAGGCAACATATACCCTGCCCTTGAGTTTAAGATTGACGGCACGGTAAGTGTCTCAGTCTGATGATTGCAGGGCGGGCGTTCGCGATCCGTTGTGAAACATCATCTCTGATGCAGCTACCAGCTGTGATGCAACTCCCTAGCTAAGTGAAGTAGTTGACTTGTTCCAGGACGTTGCCAGTAGTGGTGATGGCAGGCACAGGCATCTGCCAATCCTGGAGTAGTACTTTACATTTGCCATCGCTAAGTGGTACAGAGGGCTCTGGACGGCTTGTGAATCGTCCCCAAGCAAAGTGATATCATCTGCGTAGTCCAAGTCCGCGACTCTGTCACCTGGAGGAAGTTCAATATCGCAGTTTTGAGGGCCTTCCAATGCTCCTTGGACGACATCTTCGATGGCGTAATTGAAGAGGAAAGGTGAGATGAGACAACCTTAGCGCATGCCGCTGGTGACAATGAACGAAGTGGAAAGCGTGCCGTAAGCCCTGACTTTGCCCGACGTGTAACTGTAGAGATCCTTCAAGATGGTTCCAAACTTGTTGGGCATAGCTTTCCTTAGTAGTCCGTTCCACAACGCAGATCTATCTACTGAGTCAAAAGCCGCTCAGATTTCCAAGAACACTGCGATTGTTGGCCGTCGGTGGACGTGACGGGGTTCAAGCAGTTGGCGGAATGTGAAAATGTAGTCAATGCAACCTCGACCTGGACGGAAACCCGCTTGTTCCTCTCGTTAAATGTCTTCTCTAGTCACTGAGAGCCTACAGAGTAGAACAGACACGAAAATCTTGGAGGCAACTGAGATCAACGAAATTCCGCGGTAATTGATCCAATCCTCGCGGAAGCCTTTCTTGGGAATCGGGACAATGACCGATTCTCTCCATGCAATTGGGGCTTTCTCGTCAGTTCAATTTATCGTGAAGTGTGATAGCATTTCATTGACAACTGCATTCCCTTCATCTTTGAATGGAGCCGGGGGTAGGCTGTCGTGACCGGGAGCTTTATGACGCTTCAAAGTTTGGATTGCACTTCAGATCTTTGTTTCTGCAGAAGCATCTGTGGCGATAGGCCAGGCACCATTCGAGGTAGACGGAGATGTCACAGTAGGCTGTGCTGAGCAGTTGAACTGGAAAGCAAAGTGCTCTGCCAATCGGCCCAAGCGCATGTGCAGGCTGGTGATTTTCGAGTGTCTGATTGACAGCGTACGAATAGCAACCAGTGGTCTTGATGAGGTAAAACAAACTGCGGAAGTTTGCAGTCGATGCAGCGGCCTCTATCTCAGCAGCTCGTTTTGACCACCAGGATTCACGGTGAGATCGGAGGCTTGACTTCAGCGTTTGATAGACTGACCAAGTTCGCTGTGCTCCGCACTGGCGGGCACAGCCCGTCGATGATCTAGCAGTTTCGAGGATCCTACCGAAGTCCAGCTTTGGTTGTGCAGCGGGTGAGTCCGCAGCAGGACAAGCCCGCGGACAGCATTGCTTTTCGCAATTTGGACCAGTGTTGATCAACATCCAGAGCATGGGGTGGAGCGAGATTTTCGCAAAACCTCTGTGGATACTGCGTTTTTACCGTTGGGCCCTCCAACTTATGAGTGTTGAGTCGGGTTTGCTTGCCCCTGGGTGAACCGCCGAAACGCATACAAATTATCGTGCACATCAATGCGTGATCGGTGTCAACAGAACTTGACACACTAGTTGATGGTAGGGTTTGGTTGTGTTTCATGGCATATACCTGCATATGGCCCAGGTAAGCGTGTTGAGGTAACTGGCGAATGTGAGGGTGCAGCAACGGCAACGGAAAAACTGCCAGTTCCGCTAATAATGGTGGGTGGCTGAGGAAAAAGATCTGCAGCAGCAAGATGAGTCATTTGATAAATCGGTCCAAAGGGGGATTCATGTGTGAAGTTGCAAATCCGTTGGATGGCATGTTCTGTGGGAGAATGAATTGAGGAGGATGGGGGATGGTGATTTCATTGAATCAGATTTATACGCACTAGGAATAGCTACAGAAGCAGCGCGCACCACGCAGCTTCCATGAGAGTTCGAAGATAATTGGAATGAGAAAACTAGAGGGGAGAAAAAGTTTACATGGTAAAAAATTCTCACAACACGTTCGCTATTGGATACGATTACAGGCTATTTTCGGTAGCGTTTCTAACCAGGTGTGCTCACAGTCCTTCGGTTCCCAGCCCGGGATTCTGGAACTCCCCAGTGTGACCATCTGCAATGTCTGCGCCTTGACACCCCGGATCTTGGTTTTCTGTCGCTTCCAACTAACGCCAGCGTATGTAAACAATGCGTGGCGGGGCAGCCGTTCGGCAGGCGTACACAGGACTTGACCGTGACACCGGGACGCGCGCAAGGAAAGTAATCAGCTCAATGTTCAACAATCTAGCTTGAAGATCTGACGCCGAACGTCATTGCTAATGCATTGCTGCCAACCTACACCATCGGTGCTCTAGACGCATCGGTGATCAAAAAGACAGTCTCTGGACATCACCTACTCAAATGGGTCAGGTCTCTTAGCCCTACCAGAGCATTGTTCTTACCGTAGCGTTGTAGACTCGACCCTTTAGCGAAAGGCTGAGATCACGCCGGCGCCACGTATGTCGGTTGTTAGCAAAGACTACTCTGGTTTTGGAGATTCACAACTTGACCTCATCCTTTAATCCGCTTACGCTAACGCCACTCCCAAGATAAACTTGTCGACCACTTCCAAAGAAGAAGCGGGTAGTGCGAAGGTAGGATCAGCTCCTAACAAGTCTACCTATATGCACCTTTGTTTCTTCGGTGCACATCACGATGTCCATGCGTTGCTCTCTACGTGGTAACTCAGAGAGTTACTCAGAGTTACTTTTAACTGAGTACGGACTGCATTCTATGGGATCAGGCTGCGATACAATGTTACATATGTTACATCGTTGACTGAAAGGTCGCACTGAGCTTCCTGATCCAGTTGCGCTTGATTGGCTGTTGACCATTAATCAACGTTACTATCTCCGCTTGTGCGCTTGCACACGATGCAGCCCCACGTTGACGTGGCAAACTGCTCCGTACATCGCGTAATGTAGATGTACAGTTGTAAGTTGCGATCGGTGAGCCCCGTTGTAGAGTCTTATTGGAGTCGATGCCTTCCAAAATGCGATCAATGGCTGTCTGTGATCGGGCCTGCATCAGCGTCTGAGAACTTAAGTTAGCTGACTGCTGTCGTGTAGCGCCCTACGTGAGTCAAAAACGAAGACTAGGCTGCGATCAGAAACTATTTGGATCAGAATGCAACGCGTTATTTATAGGGTAACCTACGCTCCGTTGAGCGATCCCGGTCTGATTTTCCTTGATTGGCTGCTTCTTGTGGAAACAACGTCGATTGAATCAGTTGGTCGTGCTGGTTTACAAAGCGATTCTCGCTCACGCGCATAGGCGTTGTTGCTCGACTGGCGGCGGACAATCGATCTAGCGATCTCTTGCCTGCCCGTTCCGCATGTGTGAGCGAATAGAAACAGCTGCAATTGCCATGCTCGTATCGCATAGCTCGAATTTGGCTGTTCATTGACAATATT